AGCCGGCTCTTCTTGGGGCCGCGAGGCCTCACTGGAGAGTCATCTTCACTGTCCAATAGCCGACGCCGCCCAGACCCTGCAGGTGCGGAGTCCGCCGCTCGAGGGGAAGCTGCATCTGTAGCTGGAGTAGCTTTGGGGCTTCCACTCCCCGCGGCTGCAGCAGACCCTGCGGGAGCTGCAGCGGCGCCTCCAGCCCGCTGTGGGGCCGCCGCATTGTCTTCAGAAACGCCGGCTGTGGCTGTCCCTGAGGAAGCGGTGCGTGCAGCAGCTGAGGGGTCTGTTCCTGAAGTTGCGGCAGCAGGAGGTCTTGCAGGCTCCTTTGAGGGCTTCAAGACGCAGCAGCAACAGAACGACAGAAATAACAGAGCAGCAGCAGCAGCAGCAGCAGCAGCAGCAGCAGCAGCAGCAGCAGCAGCAGCAGCAGCAGCAGCAGCAGCAGCAGCAGCAGCAGCAGCAGCAGCAGCAGCAGCAGCAGCAGCAGCAGCAGCAGCAGCAGCAGCAGCAGCAGCAGCAGCAGCAGCAGCAGCAGCAGCAGCAGCAGCAGCAGCAGCAGCAGGCCGACCTGCGCGATGCGGTCGATTTCCTCCTGCCTGCCGATGACGGGCTGCAGCTTTCCAAGCCGCGCCTTTTCGGTCAAGTCTTCTCCGTACTGACTCAAGTCGAAGTCCTTCGCCACGTGTTCGGTGCTGCCCGAAGTGCTGGGCATCGGCGTGTTCTTGTAAGCCAGAGCCAGCTCCCTGCAGCAGCAGCAGCAGCAGCAGCAGCAGCAGCAGGAGAAGCGGCGGCGGTGGAGGTAGAGGCAGAGGCTAACTCGACAGGGGCAACCGCGTGCTTTGCTCCGCAGCGATCGATGCGCGCTGGTCACACAAACTGCTGCTGCTGCTGCTGTTGCTGCTGCTGATCTACCACTGCTACCACTACACCTGCTGCTGCTGCTGCTGCTCATCTACCACTGCTACCACTACACCTGCTTTAGCTGCTGCTGCAGCAGCTGCGCATCTACGCCTGCTCCCACTACACCTGCTGCTGCTGCAGCTGCGCATCTACCCCTGCAACCCCTACGCCTGCTGCTGCTGCTGCTGCTGCTGCTGCTGCTGACTCTTTGCTGCAGCAGCAGCAGCAGCAGCAGCAGCAGCAGCAGCAGCTGTAAGGGGGAGGGCGGAGGGGGCAGCGGGGGCAGTAGGGGACGAGGCAGCTTTCTGCTTCTGCCATTCGCCGCGCCCGCAGAAACACCTCCACCACTGCAGCAGTCACCTTCGCCCCGCCCAGAGGCAGCTGCTGCTGCTGCTGCTGCTGCTGCAGCAGTTGTGGCGCCGGGACAGACACAACGAGCAGCAGCAGAAGACCCGAAGAAAGACAGAGGAAAAAAGGAATTAAAAAGTGAAGAAGAAAAAGACAAAAGAGAAAGAAGGAATAATAAACAAGAGATATAAAAGAAATAAAAAGAGGGAGGAAAGAAGAGAGAAAACAAGGTCGAGAAACAGCAGCAGCAAGAGCACCACCAGCAGCAGTCAGCAACAGCAGCAAACGGGCACTGAGAAAAGGGGAAAAAAGGAAAGCAGCAAAAAGCAGCAGCAGGAACGGCTAGCAGCAGCAGCGGAGGGGCCAAAAGGGTGCGGCAGAAGGGAAAAAGAAGAGCAGCAAACGCAGCAGCAGCAGCAGCAGCTAGCAGCAGCAGCAGCAAGAGTGCAGCAAAAGCAGCAAAAGAGCCCCGGGAGAACTCACTGGAGTTCTGGGCAGCCGAACGAGAACAGCTTTCACCACTCCCCGCACTTGAGAAAAGTCCCCCTTGCACTTCGCAATCACTTCTCGAGGAGCTGCAGCAGCAGCAGCAGCAGCAGCAGCAGCAGTGAGGAAAGCGCCAACCGCAGCAGCAAAACCAGCAGCAGCAGCACAACCGGCAGCAGCAGCAAACCCCGCAGCAGCGGCGAAGCCCGCAGCAGCAGCAGCGCAACCCGCCGCAGCAGCAAAACCAGCAGCAGCAGCAGCAGCAGCAGCAGCAGCAGCAGCAGGTTACTTTCGAGTCTGCTGCCCTCGAGCATGGCCATGATGAGGTGGGCGAGGGAAATGCGGTCGTGGTGGAGGTGCCAGGCCAAGACGTCCATCGTCTCCACCATCAGCTGCGTGTCGAAGTTCAGCTCCGAGGGCGCGCGCTGGCAGCAGCAGCAGCAGCAGCAGCAGCAGCAGCAGCAGCAGCAGCGGATGCAGGTGCGGAGCGGGAGAGTTGCGGAGGCGGCGGGCGCAGCAGCAGCTAAGGCAGCTGCGGCCCAGCCAGCGGTGATTGCGGCTCGACTTAATTTTAAGTGGCGAAGTGACACAGCAGCAGCAGCAGCAGCAGCAGGAACAGCAGCAGCAGCAGGAACAGCAGCAGCAGCAGCAGTATCGGCGGGGGCGGCAGCCGCATCATGATGAGCATCTGCAAGAGGAGCGGCGTGAAGGCGTGGAAAAGAGCAGCAGCAACAGAAGCACACGCAGCGACAACAACAACGGCAGCAGCAGCAACAAACAGCAACAAAAGCAGCACCGCGGCCAGCAGCAACAGCAGCAGCAGCAGCAGCGCGTGTCACAGTAGCAGCAGCAGCAAGCCCCCTGAGGAGCTACGAGCAGCAGCAGCAAAAGGAGCAGTAGCGAGACCGAACTAGCTGCCGCCAGGAGAGGCAAACAATGCAGCACAGACTAGGCAGCCGGCAGCGGGACACTGCAGCAAACTGCAGCAGCAGCAGCCGCAGCAGCAGCAGCCGCAGCAGCAGCTCCCCTACGGAGCTGCATTTGGCCCCGCACCCCTCGGCCACAGGTGCAGGAAGACAAGACAGCTGCCGCCGCACGGCCAGCAGCAGCAGCAGGAGCGGCATCAGCGGGCGCAGCAGCAGCAGCAGAAGAAGCAGCAGCAGCAGCAGGAGCAGCAGCAGCAACGGCGCACCTGATCCGGGGTTGGTCGGAGAGGCAGCGTAGCTGCTACCTCCTTCACTTCGTTGCTGCTGGTCAGCAGCAGCAGCGCGAAGGGCGCTGCTCTCTTGAGCCACTGCAGCATTTTTGTGCGGCAGTAGGGCGTTGCTGCTGCAGTTGCTGCCGCTGGAGCTGCTGCAGTTGCTGCTGTTGCTGCAGCTTCGTCTGCTGCCCAGGCCGCGAAGCTGCTGCAGCAAAAGGAAGGAGAAGAACGGGAAACAGCAAATAAGGGGAGAGATCGGGCAGGCAGCGGGATCAGTGGCTGGGGGCGGCGGCGAGCTGCGCCAGCAGTGGTGCTGCTGCTGCTGCTGCTGCTGCTGCTGTTGCTGCTGCTAAGGATCTGAATGAGTGATGGCTTTAGGGAAGAAGCAAAGAAAAAAGGGAATCGCGCGCGTTTGCTGCTGCTGAGGCAGCCCGTAGCGCGGCTGCTGCCTTAACTCGCTCTCCTCCACTGGCAGCAGCAGCGCCGGCCTGCAGCAGCAACTCAAAAATAAGCGAAAATGAAACAAACAGCAAATTAAGTTCGCCAAAGTGGCCACCGCAAGACAGCAAGAGGCCTTTCGCAGCCTCGCTCACAGTCAACGCGCCGCTGCTGCTCCTGCTTCAACTCGATGCTGCTGCTGCTGCTCCAGTAGCAGCAGCAGCAGCAGCAGCAGCGGCAGCGGGCGCTATGGGCAGGGCGGATCGCCGCATGCGTCCGCGTCTGTTTGCTGCTGTTTTGGCGGTTAATTTTTGGAATTAAATTCGAATTCAACGCTTTGGAGTTCTTTGAGGCAGCGGAGGCTGCAGCTTTCCCGCGGGTTCTTCTGCTGCTGCCAGCGGTGCAGCGCCGGCGCCGTCCGAGGCCCCCCAAGGGCCCCACGAGGCAGTTTGCTGCTGCTCCTTTGCTGCTCGGCCGCTCCGCAGCAGCCGTTGGCTCCTTTTGGCCTCTAAGCAGCGCGCCCAGCTGCCGCTGCCGCAGCCGCAGCCGCAGCCGCAGCAGCAGCAGCAGCCGCAGCAGCAGGAGGGGCGGCTGTGGCGTGGGTGTCCGTGGGCGGTTCGCGCGTTGCGTCGGTCCGAGCAGCAGCAGCTCCTCCGCAGTTGCTTTCCTGCCCTTCCTGCCCTCCCTTCCCGCTGCCGCTGCTGCCGCTGCCGCCGCTGCCGCCGCTGCTGCCGCTGCTGCCGCTGCTGCCGCTGCCGCTGCTGCCGCTGCTGCCGCTGCTGGCGCTGCTGCTGCAGCAATGTTCACCCTGGCGGAGACGCGGGCGGCGGACTCCTCGGAGTCCGCGTCCCGAGCTGCAGCGCCGTCGCCGTCGAGCCTGATCCTGAGCCACCGCAGCAGCAGCAGCAGCAGCAGCAGCAGCAGCAGCAGCGACGCGGGGGCGGCGGCTCTTTCGCAGATTCTTTCGCTGGACCCGACGGACGAGGCGGCGGTGGCAGCAGCAGCAGCGGCCGCCGCGCGCCCCGCAGCAGCAGCGGCGCTCGCGCGGCGGCCCGTGCTGCTGCAGACCTCCCTCGGCCCGCTGCTGCTGCAGCTCTACTGGGCCCACGCGCCGCGCTGCTGCCTCAACTTCTTCCTCCTCGCCCGCCGCGGCGCCTTCGACAACTCCCTCGTGCTGCAGGTCGGCCCGCAGTGGGCGCTGGCCGGGGACCCTTCGGACTCGGGGCGGGGCGGAGTTTCTGTTTTCGGGAGGCCCTTCGAGGACGAGATTCACCCAGGTGGCTAGCTGGCTGCCTCGCTGCCTCGCTCTGGCTAGCTGGGGAGGTGTTTGGCTAGCTGGGGAGGTGTTTGGCTAGCTGGGGGCGTTTTTAGCTAGCTGGGGGCGTTTTTGGCTAGCTGGGGAGGTGTTTAGCTAGCTGGGGAGGTGTTTGGCTAGCTGGGGAGGTGTTTGGCTAGCTGGGGAGGTGTTTGGCTAGCTGGGGAGGTGTTTGGCTAGCTGGGGAGGTGTTTGGCTAGCTGGGGAGGTGTTTGGCTAGCTGGGGAGGTGTTTGGCTAGCTGGGGAGGTGTTTAGCTAGCTGGGGAGGTGTTTGGCTAGCTGGGGAGGTGTTTGGCTAGCTGGGGGCGTTTTTGGCTAGCTGGGGAGGTGTTTAGCTAGCTGGGGAGGTGTTTGGCTAGCTGGGGAGGTGTTTGGCTAGCTGGGGGCGTTTTTGGCTAGCTGGGGAGGTAGCTGGGCGCGTGGATAGGTGGGTGGGGGTAGCTAGCTAGCTAGGGGGATAGCTATCTAGCTAGGTGTTTAGCTAGCTAGCCAGCTAGCTAGCTAGCTAGCTAGCTAGCTAGGTGTTCAGCTAGCTAGCTAGTTGTTTAGCTAGCTAGGTGTGCACTTGGTTG